CTTCACTAAGTAACTACCTAAACTTAACTGAATAAAAAAAGGCTTAGTAAGTCATATAGAAATAAATGTTTTCAACTAAAAGTTTTTTTTTTATAAACGCATACATAGAGCCGCGATAATGTTCGACGATAACAAAATTAGATCCCCAGTAAAAGACAGTAAAATGAATATTTTTATTCAATTTTAAAAACCTAATTTATTTCCATGATTATGTTGAGAAACGTCGTAAAGGAAACCTGAAGATTCTCGAGAAATATTTAAAAGACAAGCGTTGATATTTTTTCAGATGAAAAATGGAATAAATTTAATAAAAAATGCGAGAAGAATGAGGTAAAATAACTTTACAAAGAAATAAAACAACACTCATGGCCGTAATCCAATGAATAATGGAATTTATTTTTTTCAGTTGTCATGGTTTGACACACATAACGTACTTCGGTTACTGATTCTTGCATATATCGTAAATATTAACAATCCATACAAATTTTCAACCCTTAAAAACTTCTTTTTCGCGTTAAAAAGTAGCCTATGTCCTTTCTCAGGCTCTAGACTATATGTGTACCAAATTCCATTTAAATCGGTCCAGTAGCTTTTACGTGAAAGATGAACAAACAGAGTTACTTTCCCATTTTAGTAGTAAGGGTTTTCTAAACGCCTCTTGTCGACAATAACACATTCAGGCAACTTTATATTAGAAAAATTTCGCAGACATATCTTACCAATATTTGTGATTATATATGCAGATATAGATTACGTAAACAGGTAGTGATAAGTTGATCGGCCAAGGTCATTATCATTATCACCCGGCTGCATTCGCCTGCGCCTTGTCTTAGATTAGATACAAAACATCAAATTAAACTTTCTATTTTTATCTGTGGAATCCTTTTTTTTTGGAAAATTCCCCGATCGCCTTTTGTTTTAAAGAGACTCACTGCGACAGGCGAAAGCCACAGTTACTTTGTGAACTAAATTTGCAAAGCGAGGTGTTCAATTCATGGTCATACCCAAACCGTTATACGCGCACTTATTTATTTTATTTTTTTTATTTACTTTATTTATTCAGTAAGTCGCATGACACAGTAACAGCCTAACCTTTATTGTATTTGACCTAATAAACCTAACGAAAGTAACATAGAGAATGACTGCATACTTTACAAAATTATTGCCTGGTCATTTTTTTATAAGTCTGTCCGTCTACTAATATTATAAATGCTTATATTTATATGGATGGATGGATGTTTGTTAGAAGCTATCTCCAGAACGGCTAAACGGACCTGAATTAAATTTGACATACCTATAGAACATAGTCTGGAAGAACACATTGGCTACTTATCGTTTTTTTTTTAATTCCGCACGGACGGATTCGCGGGCGACAGCTAGTACATCATAATACTTTTAAATATTGCCGTCCTAGATAAAAAAAATATAAAAACATGTTTACAAAAATTTAGGTAAAAGTTATTTTTAAATTAAGATAACCCTAGATAACCTTTGTTCATTGTTTGGACGTTTTTAAAAAAGTCACGTTGTATAATTTGACTACAACATTCTATTATTTCTTTTAATGATTACTAACCTATATTTGTTTTTAAATGTCACGTTACACGCATATGTTCGATAAAGCAAGATTAGGTTTACAATAACTGGAAGTTAGACAAATAAAATTATGCAATCGTTTAATTAATATTTAAATATATACAGATAAATAAAATTAAAGTGCACGTGATGTATTAGTGTTATTTCTAACAACTTTTTTTCTTTTTCGTCCAGTATTTTTTTGCGCGTTTGTTGTGTATAATCTCCGCAACCTATTTTAACGGAATTTAAAAACAAAAAATCTTTAATAAAGACAGTATAATATTTAGCTTTATTAATTAAAAATATATGATCCTAATATTAATAAAGGAAGAGTGATTAAGGATATTAAAATCGTTCTTATTTCAAATTTAATAACACAGATTAAGCAACAACAACAGATTAAAAATAAAACATACCACAGACAATTACGTGTATTCTAATAAGAATCCAATAAGCATTAAAAATTACTACAAAAATTGGCTTACAAAAACACGATATAACGCTATATTAAAATCGAGAGTGAATATTATTGCGTAGTTGCGTGATGTGCCTAAAAAAATCCGTTAAACATAGGAACGCTAGGCCGAGACGCGATCGATGTTGAGGCAGGTCGGGTACGGCGCGCACAGTGGCGGCTGTCTCTCACCAACACTACTACATATATTTGGGACATAGTATTGTGCTCCTTATATTTTTAAATAGTACTGAAAATACTGTAAAATTACTACTTTAATTTTTCATAGTTTTTGTCTATATAAAACACAAATTTCAATGTCACTTGTTAAGCAATAAAAACAAGTGCTAATAAACCGTCGCATAGAACATAGCGACACTGAAATGTATTCATTAGAGTTATATTGCAATATTGTAGACTTGCTACATTCATATAAGTTAAACAACATAATAAATATTGATTATCAGTTCCTATTAGACCTATTAATTCACCGCATTTACCGATCTAATAACTAAATTGTTTTCTACACGGAAAATCTTGATAAGAATTCAACGGTTGTCCAGCGAGAATTGATAAAATGTTAGGATAGGTCAAGGCAAAACAAAAATTTCTGCACGCGAATCTAATCGGCGTCTAGACATTACCGGAAATAAATTTGGTACAACTTAAAAAAAATAGAGCATAAATTGTACGCACCACTTCCTCCATCCAGTCCATGTCGGCTAGTAGCGCTGTCTGGATATTATATAGTTTAACTATTTATTGGGGTCAGGCGTCACGAGAGAACTGCGCGTCGCGACGTCCGACACACGAGTGCAGCGTCGTGTCGTGTGTTGCACCGAAAATTCCCGCCGGCGCCCCTCCCCGCGCACCCCTCGCCACACCCCCGGGCCCCCGCTCGCGAAATTTTCAAACATCAAATCGCACAGCGCCATCTATGGGCGATTAGAGGCCCGCTCGCCTCGTGCGTGGCCTTGAACTTGACAATACATCGCGGCGACCCAGTTTCGTGGCGTGCCCGCCCCGCCAGCCTCGCCTCGCGCCGCCGCCGCCGCCGCCTCGACAACTCGACTCAGCTGAATGGAACCGCGCGCAGTAAGGAACATTTTCGCGTCACAACGACTATCGTTTTCATTGTAAAATGTTACATCACACTTGCACTCGCGTATTTACATTAATATGCACTTGTTGATGGCGCTACAATAAATTACGATCCTCGAGCCGTTCAAGTCGATAACCGCGAGAAGATCTGGGCTAATTCAATGTGGGTATTCGATCTTTTTAGATAGAACAAGACGAAAGACAATTAATGTACCTAAGGATGCAAAAAGCAGCATTGCTTTGTGAACATGAATATGCCTACGCTATACAAATTTTATTCAGTATCGAAAATGTTCCATAAACATCATATCTCGTGTAATTCGTTATCGAATACAATGACGTAGGTAGCAAATCTTTAAATGCATTTCGATCAAGATATTGTAATAAACCAATTAAATAAATAATATAGCATTAAAAACGTTATAACATGGGCGACGCTAAGGAGGGTCAGAGGAGAATCAAAAATTTATAAAATAGATCCCTATAGATCCCCATAGATAGCTCAAAAAGTAATTGTACATCATTTTAATTATCTGTTTCTTTTGCAATAAAAAAATTAACTACAAGCACTCCCCCCTAGATCTAGCCTTGATCATCGGCTAGCAACACCTTTGCGTTTCAACATAGAGTAATGACGTAAGCTAGACATAAGTTAACTACATTAACAAATTATTGTTAGTAAATTCCCGTTGTAATTTTAACAAAAACCATATTCATGTTATTTCTGTCTGCTTTTCTTTGAGAAACATTTAAAATCACATATTTTATATAAATATTTCGGTACCGGGAAACTAAAAAAATGTCAAAAAATGCTAGAAATGTATAAATTTAAACAAAAAAAAATACTTCAATAACTTTTCTAATCTCAAATATTCCCGACTTAATCATCAACCTGCCCTTATCTCTATTAAGGGTCGGTACAGTATGTACTACTCCTCCGTACATCTCTATCAGCCATCATATTTGAATCTACCCCCTTCCTATGAATATCCCCTTTCACACAGTCATTCCATTTTTTTGGTCTTCCTCTACGTTTGTATAGCTATACACATTCAATCTCATAATTCGAAGATTCCAGACTTAATAAAAATAATACCTAAAATATAATATTATATCTAAAAATTTATTTTTCTGACCATACCATTGTTTTGTTATATAAGAACTATAACATGATGCACATGCAAATTTTTATTTGAAACTGCTAGTAGATTGATGAAGACATCAAAAAGATAGTGGTAAAGCCATAACTGACATCCACAAGTATATGTACAAAATATTATTCAAGTTATTTCTCATATAAAATTTATATACATACATATTAAAGTTCTATGTTAGTGTTAGTATCAGTAATCTCTACTAGATGGAGATATTTTATAATTTCATATTACAACTCAAGTTTACAACAGATAAAAAATTATTTATTTAAATTTAACCATGATTTATCTCAATTTTAATTTGTTTGATTAAATTAAATAATTTGATTAATTTTCTAATTCAATTTGTTATATTATTTAAACAGCCGGACTAACATATGTCAGTGTTTTAGCCATTTTTATATATGTTTGAAGAGCATAAAAAATCATGGGGATATTAAATTTGTTCACATCAAGGAAAACTTGTGTTGAATCATAAATTTAATTACATATCATTACCATACAATGGATTTAGCTAAGATTAATAACACACTGCGTCAGAATTGGATGATTAATAATTTACATAAATGCTGTAGTTTTAAAATTAAAAAAAAAACCATCTAATATAAACAATGACTTTGGATCTTAGAACTTTTTATTGCATGCGTTATAAATATGTATTACTTGTATTTTAAATAAACACATTTTTTATTAAATATTAAAAAAAATCTTACCTCATCCATATGTTACAGACATAATTTGCATAAATCCAACTGTCATGTTAACAAAATAACTGCAATTTTATACAATGGTACCTGAAAAAAAATAAGTAAAAACATTCAATAAAGGAAACTTCTAAATTAAGGAATAAGTAAAGTAATTTTTAAATAATCTGATTTTTTAATTAAATTATTGTTCAAAATGTTTAAATAACTTGTATCTTATGGGATGTATTATAAAATATAATATATATTGATAATATACTCCATTAAATAATAAAATATATATCATAATATAAATAAATACATATTTCCTTCATAGCATTATGTACTGCAGCCTAGAATAAATTATGCACTATTAATAAAATGCGACGAATGACGCCAGAGTAGGAAAAACTACATTGTAATGAAATACCGAGTCATTTAAATTAATATACTACAAATGTCACAATTGTATGGTACACTTACACCAAACTATTATGTAAACATTTGTGAAACTTACGATAATTATCAACAATACAAAATAACATTTGCATCAAATCAAAGTTCCTGAATTTTTTCTAGAATAAAAATATTCACTTAATTCTTCACAATAATCCCACAAAGTTAATTTGTTTCATAATAATTAAAAATGTTTAGAACTGTCAGTTCTTTAGTCTAATAAGCTCACGTCGCACTAAATACACAACTACTACACTTTCTATTGTTTATTATAACTAAAATCATTAAAAGTAAACTGTTTTAGTTAAAATAAAACTTTTTGTTTATAAGTTTTAAAAATATCTAAGCATCAAACTAGGTTATTTTAATTGACATTTCTTAAGCGTTGTCAGATTGACATTGACAAATTGACAATAATTTCGTAAAAGAGTAAGCAAAGTAAAAGAACATTACTTAATTTTAAAAACAAAAGCGTGAAAATATAAAAGATGTCCTTGAAAAGTAGTATTCTTTTACTGTTCATTTTTTGAGTTTCTATCATCATTATTGGCAAAAATAGACATTGCAGCAGTGCAGTCTTAAATAAAACGCCCTTCCGTGTATATCTCTTACAGTTCTCAGTGATCTTCGTCCTCTTCGAACTAAATGCGGGACGCTATTTTTGGTCCCAGAAAATGATTTAATTATTTTGTGATATATTAAAAGACAATACCCATTTATTTAGGCTTTATACAATTTGTTATTTTAGGAATTTGAATAAATAAATATATGTATAATATTAAGACCTTGAAAAAGTAAGTCCGTAGGTAAGTCCGTTCTAGATCTTGTTATGTAAAATTTTAATTTGAAAGATGACAACACTGAACTTTTTCTGAAAACGCCGACGTTTCTCGTTTTTCGGGCCAACTCATCGGTCTTTTTGACACAGAATATGTTTGTTTTTAGCTCATAAAGATATGAGTATTAATTCCGTTTGTGTATGAAAAATAACGTTTGTGATTGTTAAGACATGGAGGTGCATTATCTCGTTCTCCTTTTCAGTATCTTCTGGCGTGGTTGCCAAGGTATTATGTGGAGTTTGGCTCCAAACACCCAGAAGTGTTTAAAGGAAGAATTACATGCTAATGTGCTTGTTGCTGGTGAATATGAAGTAGGCGAAGCTCCAGGACAGCGAGTGGATTACATAGTAAGTTAAAACGTTAAATCTTTCCTCCCAGTCTTGAAATTTTTTGTTCCATTCAAAAGGAGCTGATACAAAGAAACTCCCTAATAATTTAAAGTCAATATTTACAAATCTGTTATAGAAACCACATTTAAGCAAGTTCTTACATCTTGTCATCTATCAAAAACTAAAACATAACCTGTAAAGACATTTCAGATTTGTAATGTAGCTAAAATTTTACTTTCTTTATACAGGTTAGGGATTCAAAAGGCCACATACTATCACAAAAGGACTCAATAAACAAAGGAAAGTTCACATTTGTCACTGAAACATATGACACATTTGAAGTTTGTTTCATATCAAAAGTGCCCCCGGGTAAGTTTAATTATTGGTATTAAATTTTAAATAAAACAACATTCAGTCTTAAAATGACCCATAGTCTTTGTAAGCAATATACCATGACTCTTGAGCAGTAACTTTGCTTATGACAATACTTAGCAAAATATGAGAGGGAGAATTGGTGAAGGTTTTCCACACAGCTATTGATTACGAGGCATTTAGCTGGAATCTACAATTTTACCCTTTGTTATAAATGTGTTGTTTAAACAGATGTATATAGCATTCTAATTTACGTTGAATGTTACAAGAATTTTATGTCAATTTTTACATATTTTCAGAGCGCAGGGGTATCAGTCAAGAAGTGTTCTTAAACATTAAAGTTGGATTTGAGGCTAAAAATTATGAGGGTGTAAGTAATTCTTATTTTTTCATGATACAAATAAATGATATAAGAAAAATGTATATTTTAGATCCAAACATCAAAGTAGTATTGAAAAAATAAAGATGGAATATATTATCTTTAAAATGTCAGTAATTTTTCATATTCCAATTACATAAAGATATTCTATTCACGAGCTTTTGCCCAAGACTTTGTCTGTGCGGAATTAACAAATAAGCTCAAAAGGTAGCAAATGTATCTTTCAGTGTGTGCTTTAAATCTATGCCAAATTTTATCAAAATGAGTTGTTCTGGAGATACCTAGTAACAAACATCCAATCCATCAACAATTTCTCATTTAATATTTATTTCTCATCCCGGAGACCTAATTTAGTCTTCTTTCCCTTCCCACCCTTTCTCTTATAAGGAAAGGATGGGAAGTGAAAGTGGACTTACCGGATGAGAGGATGCATGGAAATGGAAAATATTTTCTTTCTGTGCACCTCTCCTCCGTCGATTAAAGGTAGGCAACGCATACGCAATGTCTATGGGCAATGGTCACTTCGCTATTTCTGCGATTTCAGGTGGGCGCTCGCTTGATTGCCACCTTATGATATAAAAAAAATATATATATTAGTAGGATTATAAGATTAACACAAATACTATTATTACAGATTATAATAATAATATTTAAGAACATTAACATGTACTTGTGTGTAAACTTCAAATTATTAGATTTTTAATTTTATTTTTTTATGTAAAAACTAATTCTGTCATCTCTTATCGGTTGGTGATCTGTGGCACTGACAACTTGAATCAACTAGAACACTTGGGTAATAATGTGTGAGAGTTTGAAACAAATAACATTCTCTAATATCAGTTTGTGTTGCCAGTATAATTATTAATAATACCTGTGTTAAAAATGCATGAAACCTTACAACTGGTCCACCAGAATTTTATTAAATTCACAAGGTGAATTGCAGTTTTTCCTTATATTTATTTTAGCGATTTGCTGCTAATACTCCCCCATCTCCTAAAAAATTCCTTAAAATGGTGACATGGCATATAATTGTCATTATTCAATGTCAAATTAGTTCAGTATTTTTTGTTCTGACCCTGAGATATCACTTTGGCGGAGGCAATGAATGTGTTGACTCTTTCTAAGACATAAACTGAGATATTTGTTAAATTACTTTTATTTATATGCTTATCATATGTCTACAGATTGGTGAAGCAGCCAAGCTAAAGCCAATGGAATTGGAGTTGAAGAGACTGGAAGATCTATCGGAAGCTATAGTCCAAGACTTTACTCTCATGAGGAAGAGAGAGGAAGAGATGCGAGATACTAATGGTTAGTCAATGTTTTAAAATAGATTTCACTGTATTAGCTTAAAATGACCTTGATCAGTGATTCCTGAAGTGGTCTAAAAACAGACAATATGACTCGGAGAAGGCGAATGATGCTGGAAAATATAGTTCAGGGTTCACAAGTTGAAGATGAATATAGCTGCAAGAATTTTTTTTGAATAGAGACTATGGAAAGTTTTTTTGAGAATCTTTGTCCGAATATGGCTTAAATGTTTAATTATAACTTAGTTGCAAAAAAAGAAACTCAATACTTGACACATCATATTTTTTTTTTACAGAATCCACAAACAACAGAGTTCTATTCTTCAGTATATTCTCCATGGTATGCCTGTTAGGGCTGGCCACTTGGCAAGTTCTATACCTGCGTCGCTACTTCAAAGCCAAGAAGCTAATTGAATAATCTTTTTACTAAAGCAGGTTAAGCGGCACAGTTCCTCCAACTTTTTGTATCCCATTTTTTTTTTAAATGTGGAACACTACATTATATTTGCGTTGAACAAAGATTCCACAGATAATAATGATCTTTTTAAAATTAATATCTACCATTTTAGGATTTAACATTATAGAGATAAATTGAGAATATTTATTTGAAATTGTAAGGAACTGTAAAAATTAACACATTTAACCTCGGAGTAAATAATTACAGTAAAAAATTTAAGTTTGTTGCTTTTTTCTTACCAAACTGTTTATTTACTCTGGCAACATTAAAAACTGTCAACATGTGTTATGTGCATCTTTTTTTAGCGATATCGCGCCGCACAGTCAATTTATGTATTTAAAATTGAACATACTTGATTACTTAATTCAGATTATTTAAATATTTTTGTTGTATATGTTCATGTTCGAATGTGTCGTGTCTTTAAGTAAGGATGTATAAAATAATGTTTTTTGGAAATTGTGTTTTATTTATACGTCTTATTAAATGCTAATTAAAATCTTATTTACATTTTTAGATAAGGAAAAAGTCGCAATAACATTTAGATATAAACAAAGTAATTTTAAAACAGTTGCAATCGTCGTTTGTTACATATTCTGTCGCTACAGAATGTTTCGAAGCTTACCCAAGTTAGGGATGACTAGGTCATAGGCCTAGTACGGGTTGATTGACTTCACACATCTTTGAATTTCTTCACCGTAAGAACGTTGGATTATTGTACGTATGAAATTCGAAGGTCAAATTGGTACACGGTGGGAATCAAACATAGGTATATAGATTTAAAACTGGCCTTGTCGATCTCTTAACAACAACGTTTAGCCAAGAATACGGCAATAGCAAGCCACACAGAAGAACAACTGGAAAAATGTTATAAATTAAACAATGTACATTATATAATGCTTTTTAATTTTCATAATAAATAAAAAAATGTGATGTTCATAGATTTTTCACGTCCTGGTACCTTTGTTTTTTTTTTTAATTAAATGCAACTCAAAGGATGACAATTTCTGTTGGGATACACTAGATTAAATAAATTAATGATTTAATTTAATTTATTTTTTCCATACGAAAGAATTCCTGGACAAAATCATGGAATGTATAATACAGAATTTGTATTATTTTCGATGTTCATCATATAATCACAATCAATACAATTCACAAGTAAATTAAACCGTAGCAAAATATTTCTTTATATGTATAACTAAAAAATATATACACTAATGAAAAATGTATTTAATACCATTATTAAAAAAAGAACTGAAAACTATTAAACTATTGTTGGCCAGAGGTAAATAAATTCATTTGAAATGCTGATAAAATACAGTACTACCACCCTAAACCTAAAGTCTGTAGAACTTTACAATGTTACAAACCCAGCTTTTTGACAAATTACAAATATCGATTTTTCGTCAAATACTGGGAAGGTCTCATTTTACTGGTTACAATTTTGAAAATTTTGTGCCTTTAACTTATAGCAGGTAAAAAAACTTTTTATATTGTAGGGACGATAAATTAATAACCCTGTTAATTTCCTTTCGGCACTTGAACATTTCCTCATATGAAATGTAGCGGCTATTATTTTTAATTTTTTAAACAAAGGCCAACATAATAGCCATGGCTAGCTATTTGTTTAGTTTATAACAAATATTTCTCTTATTTTATGGCTAATTTCAAATACATTTTTTTACCGTCACATTCGGATGAGAAAAAAATAAAAATGGAAAAGTATCTCGTCTTAATATTCACATTTAACATAAAACAACTGCTTGAAACAAGCTTTTAGAAATTTCTTTACCCTAATTATTTTCTAGCACGCATAATTCATTTTTATATAAAAAACTTTTAAAACATTGCATAAAAAATTTGCACACTAACGGTCCTATTTGGGGGAACTAATGGGCTCTTATAATACATGCCTTATATACAATTAATTGTTTGAATCGAAGATCAACTGTCACAATAACAAACGTCAACAACCGGTTGACCGGCTAATTCGCTTGATCGTATGACTTCAGATCAGCTTTTAAACATGAATTTTATTATTTGATACTGTGAGTTTATTATTTGTCTTGTTTACAAACGTTCACTGCATTATCAAAAATACGGCTCGAAGGACCACATATTATTCTTTAAAATTTTGTGACTACCCTATATATCAAAATTGGTATTTTGTTAAACATGTAATAGTTATCTATTACCACAGACATAACAAAGACCTTGCTTGTCGCGCTTATTATTACAACACCCAATGACGACTCAAACAAGAACACACCACTTTGTGGATATCTGTACATTTGTGACTGTTAGCTTATGATCAGGATCAAAGGGGGGAATAGTCCAATTGCACTGTGAGATGTTTGACGCCCGCCTCCCGGAATATTCTCCCGGCCTGCTCCGTCACGTAACGCGGGTCCACCTGGCGCGCTACTTCCAGCTTGATCGCACCCACATGAACGTCACTGCACAGGGTCCAGAAGTGGGGCTCCTGCACCGCGTGCACGCCCGCTAGCCCAACCACACGCGTGAACAGGTTGGGAAGAGCGCGCTCGATCGACGTTGGAGTCCGTTGCATGAGGACACCGGCAGAGTCACGCACTAGGGGAAGCACACTCGCCGCGATAAGTAACGCGATCGCCATAGAACAGATTGGGTCAGCGCGCATCCAGCCGAACGTGCGCATTAGTATGGCGGAGATGATCACACCGACGGAGCCGAGTGTATCAGCTAGCACGTGGAGGAACACACCTCGCATGATGGCGGAGCCCGCACCGGTGGGAGCTTCCATGTCGTCGTGGGAATGGCCATGGCCGTGGTCGTGGTTGTGCGAGTGGCCATGGCCACCGTGCGAGTGCCCGTGGCCGTGTCCGTGGCCATGATGGAACGCGTATATGCCCACCATGTTCACTAAGAAACCGAGCACCGATACCAACAGTAGACGTTCATGTTTCACCTGAAAAAATATTTTAAATTCAACAATTTTTTACTATCATTTGCTATAGGCGTGATGTTTTCATCTTCAGAATTCGCCAAGCTATTTAGTTTCTAAGTAACAATTTACCATTTAATATATTTACTGTAGTAATAAGATTGAGAGAGTTGGCGGGAAATCAATAAGATAGTTATTCTATATACAGCATTAATTTAAATTCAACTTTAAACCTTTGTGCTTAAGGTTGAAAATACATTGGATGGTGATCATGGTAAAGGTATAATATGGGTTTTTATTGCAGTCAATGCCTTTTCTTACGATTCGTTCCGCCTGAATTACACTTACGACAAGCTCTTATGTAATTTTCAAATTGAAAAATAACTCTAACCGTTAAATGTGTATTACGAAATATTTTATTATATACATAAGTTACTTTTTAAGGAAAATACAATTTGTGTTATCTAATCTATGTATTAAATAGTACAAAATAAGTTAGAATTTAGTAATAAAACCTTATCAAGTTGAATACATGAGTTAAGTAGAAACATGCCTTATCTGAGCAGCAGTTTTCAAAGTAGCTGATGTTATCAAATTGCCACAGACTTATTAGATAATCTGAATTAAGAATTACTTTGACGTAACAATCACTTAATTAAAAAATTGTTAAAGAAAAATAAATTTTTACATACAAATAACTCGGATTAATTTCTTTCAAAAAAAGAAGTTTTCTAACTTGATTTATGGATAACAATTTCATTTGATAATGTCATAAGACATTGATGAAAATTTATATACTTTTAAGAATTGAATTACATAAAAAAAGAGATAGGTGCAATAAAAGCTGAATATCCATCCAATACTGTCTCTCTATCGCTTGTTATTAAACCAGCCCCGGCATACTTAGCTCGGGTTGAATTTGATATGTCGTGCTTTTTTGTGCAAGCAGCCTACATTCATCAATTTATAAAACATTATCAAGCCAAAAACACTTAAAAATTGACCCCAAATTCTCAATCACATTTCAATTTACCTTACTTTAAATTCTTTTATGTACTCTTTTAACAATAACTGAATATGTATGAAAAGTAATTATTTTTATTTTTAATATTTATCATTTACAGCCTAATTTCTACTGTCATCTGGAGTAAATTGCCAAAAAAATAACATAAAAAAAATTAAATCCCGTAACTACATTAAGACCATGAAGCTATTATATGAATAGTAATTTCCTGTTAGATAATTGAAATATAATATAATAAAGTATTTACCTCTGGTGGTTCAATAGCTCTTTCAACAGCTTCACTCATTATGAAGAAAGCAATGAACAAAAGGAAGAGGCCATTTACAAAACCAGCTAGGACTTCAGCTCTCGCATAGCCATAGGAATAGCGCTCATTTGCTCTCCACTTGGACACAAGGGATGCAGCAAGCCCTGCGACCAGGCCCGTGCAGTCAAAGAACATATGGAATGCATCAGAAATAAGACCTGAAACATAAATTATCTGTTAATATCTATTTTACACTTATTTGATTGGTTGTGTACCATAATTAAAAAATAAATCAAGTTTTAAGATACTCACCTAAGCTGTTAGTCCATATCCCATAAAAGAGCTCGACAAAAGCAAATGATAAGTTAAGTATTAAGAACAAGAAAAGATTCCTTGAATTTTTATCCGAATAAATAAGTCTGAACCAGTTCTGTAACTTTTCACGTATCCCGCCTAAAGGTCCCCGTGGGAGTCTCGTATCCTTCTGGGTGAGGGGCAACATCTTGTCACACTAACTATTCAAGATTTCAACTCACGTCATTTCTGGCCTAATTGGCCTAATATCGTAAAAACACCAGTTTGCTGCATACGTGTACTATTCTTGCGGTTTCTAACCTCTTTTAATTCAAACAGTTTAACATTTACTAAGAGAGAAATTATAGAATTAAACGTGATTTATCTGTTAGATGCATAATCTTTACAAATTATACATCCTATAACAGAAAATTATCCTAAAATTGTGTAAACTTTTTCTCATCGTGTGACAATTTAAGCTATCTGACAAAGAGTAAGTATTTAGGTAAACGTCAAAGTTATAATTTGACATTTTCCTGAAGCAAAGAATAGTAATAATTACTTAAAGGACTAGCTCACTATATTCCTCCAAAACTGGTTTATCTGGTAAATTTTGTGACAATTTAGTTTTAAATGTTTATTTACCTTAAGGTCAAAAAACATCTCGAATCCCACCTAATCTTTCAATCTTTAGTATCAATATTTTAATAAACATGAAAGGAAAAATGTACAACATTCAAACGCTTATAAAATGTCAAATCGAATTATATCACATAATACCTTCTTTTATTTATCGGACTGTGTAAGCTTGTCACAAATTCAAATTGATGGCATTCTCTTTCTTTGTTTTATTTGTGTAATCTGAGTAACGCGTGCAATGCCAACACTAACTCGATTGCAATTGGCAAGTCAAAATTACATTTGATAAACAACCAATAACTAAACAGCAATAACTTGTTCAACATGTAAATGAAATAGCATATGTGATGATTCACAAACTTTCAAACGACACTCGTTTCCGGAAAAGTTTAATGTCATGTCTATGATCGTTGCTCATATTGCTTATGGAATGGATTTTTCATGACAAAGTAAATAAGTAAATAGACTAATTTTTATTTTATTTTCAATTGAAACACGTTGCTATTTACTTAAGCAATAAATTACAAAAACATCAAAGTGCACACTGGAACTCAATGTCATAAAAATATTTTCGCGCCCATAATTCAAAATCATTCCACCGGAAATTCGTCTATAGATGCGTTTGTTTCCGAAAAGTGAACGTTTCACGAGTCAACAGCACAGCAACGTCGTTCGAGAAGTTCTAGGCGCTGTTTGCGACATTTTTCTTTCTTTTATCCGTCATCCAATGTTTTGTGTGATGAAATAACACGTTGATTAGCAAGTAATTTCGATTTTAGTGTTCAAAGTCGTAATAAAGTAACTGCTAGATTACGATATAAGCTAATATGGGCGACGAAAGCCACCCGAAAACTCTCTACGTCGGTAATTTAGACGCGAGTGTGACAGAAGAATTTCTATGCGCGTTGTTCGGACAAATAGGCGAAGTTAAAGGCTGTAAAATAATACGTGAACCGGGCAACGATCCGTATGCGTTTCTCGAATTTACAAATCACACGGCAGCGGCAACAGCCCTGGCCGCCATGAACAAGCGAGTGTTTCTCGACAAGGAAATGAAGGTTAACTGGGCTACGAGTCCTGGAAATCAGCCGAAGACGGATACTAGCAACCATCACCATATATTTGTAGGTGATTTATCACCGGAGATTGAAACTCATATACTTCGTGAGGCCTTCGCACCGTTTGGTGAAATCTCTAATTGTCGAATAGTACGCGATCCCCAGACGCTCAAATCTAAGGGTTATGCTTTTGTATCATTTGTAAAAAAGGCAGACGCCGAAGCCGCCATCCAGTCTATGAACGGCCAGTGGTTAGGTTCTCGCTCTATACGTACAAATTGGTCAACACGTAAGCCTCCTACCAACAGACCAAACGAAGGCACGCCCAGTAGCAAACGAGTTAAGCAACCTACATTTGACGAGGTGTACAACCAGAGCTCACCAACAAACACAACCGTGTACTGTGGAGGCTTCACAAGTAATGTTATCACAGAGGAGCTGATGCAGAGTACATTCTCACAGTTTGGTCAGATACAGGATGTTAGAGTGTTTAGGGACAAAGGTTATGCCTTCATTAGGTTCACAACAAAGGAAGCCGCAGCCCATGCAATTGAAGCGACACATAACACAGAAATAAGCGGGCACACAGTTAAATGTTTCTGGGGGAAAGAGAATGGTGGCGGAGAGAACCAGGTATGACTTGTTGATAAACATGCCACAGCTGTGGTGTATTACTGTAAGAATTTGATATTTATGTTAAATTTTTTATATTTCAGAGTACAAATAACCCACCTGCAGCTACAACAGCAATGGGAGCACAAACACAATACCCATATGCATATCAGCAAGGAATGGGTTATTGGTATGCACAGGTCAGTAGCCCTTACAAACAATTGTTTACTAAGTCATTTAAAAAGAAATCTTGATACATTTACTACTTTAGTGTGTTATAAAACTTGGTGTTAGTAAATCTACAATATAAAATAATGTTTCACTTATAGTGTGATGGATGATCAAAAATAAACTTGCATATAGGTGCGACTGAGTTTGATGCACATTGTTTACATTGTATTTTATCATAACACTAAACAACTCACTGCTTGTATGTGAACTTTATTCCCTGTTCAGAACACTATTTTAGGTGTAACTGGACATAAAGGGATGAGGGCGGAGGGCAATGCGTATTTCAAGGTCAACCAAAAAGATTAAAATGCTCTATACTAATGTGGCTAATACAATTGGAAAGAATCTTAAAAGAAATCTTAACTTTTACATTTGCTAAGAGTATCTGATAAGTTACATTCAATTCATATCATAATATTATTATTTTTTTATTAAAAATAGTTTTATGTAGTGACTAAAGTATTGTCTGTATTATTAATATATTAATTAATAAGGCAAAGTATAAAATTATGTAAATTATTAAATATTACAAAAGTATTCTTAGCTGTTAAGTGACTACAATTCTTATCTGTAGTGTTTTATCTGAATGCTTTGAGTCACCTGTTTAATGGTTTAAGGTGCATAACAAGAAGGCAAGTAAAAAATTACAAAGTGCTTTCTGGAACCGTAAACAATACAGGGTAAATTATACATACATATGCGCTATACCACACCATAATATCTTATTAATATTATAAACGCGAAAGTTTTGATGGATGGATGGATGTTTGCTTGAAGATATGTTCGGAATGGTTGAAAGGATTTTGATGACCTTTGGAACACTTGTAGGACATAGTCTAGAGTCTAGAAGGTCATATAGGAAGACGTAGTCGCGGGCGATAGCTAGTATCTATATAAATCTTCATAAAGATCTGTTTAGTTTTTGCTAATAAACAGTTAATAATTTTTGTTTGTAGCTTGATTTTTAATTTTGAACTTTCTGTAATATTATAGTAAACTTAAAAGATTTGATTTCTATTATAATAATAAGGTACTAATTAAGTGCATTTGTTACATTCATAAAAGACTGAATTATCGAAAAACTAAATCCGTTTTCTTTGTTTGTGAACACAAAGACAGACAGACAAGACATGATTCATGCAATTCAACCATCTAGAGTGACTCAGTCATTTGAAATTGCTGTCTTGTAAATTTGACACTGTTATTTAACTATTATAACTTATTTTATTATTAATTAACAATATTAATTAAACCATGTTACACAAAATTTTAATAATATTATAAATATTTAGATGGATGTTTGGAGGTATCTCCTGAACGGCTCAACGGATCTTGTTGGATTTCGGCATAGATGTAGAGTGTGGAAAAACACATAGGTTATTAATTTTTTTTTTAATTCCGCGTAGACAGAGTCGCAGTTGACAGTATGAGTTAAATTTGAAAATTTTATTCTTTATCCAAAAAAGATATAGAAGCTTAAAAACCATTTAGAATTAAAATATTTCAATAGAGTAGCCACAATTTGAAAGGAATGGTTGAATTATTCTCTGAGTGAGTTGTCTATATCATATAGTCTATGACCTTAATTGCTTTGCCAGTAACACTGCACACACACTAAAAAGCCCCTATATTTTTACTCAAGTGAGATAAAAACTATTAGACTAATAGAAACTTTTTTTTTGTTCACCGCTGAGAAATCTGAATGATGGAATCTAATAAAAAAATTAATTATTCCAACAATGGTTATTGTTATTTGTTCTTAATATTGACAAATTAATTAAGTAAATATGTCACTGATATTAAAAATCATCTTCTCATTCCGATGTATTTCATTACATGTTATATTTGAAGTGGAAGTGGACTTTCCGGGTGAGAGGATGCAAGGAAAGGAAAGATATTTTCTTTCTGTGCATCCTCTCCTCCGTCGATTAAAGGTAGGCAACGCATATGCAATTGCGTATGTCTATGGGCAACGGTCACTTCGCTATTTCAGCGATTTCGGGTGGCCGCTCGCTCGTTTGCCATCTTATGATATAAAAAAATATATATATTTGTAAATATGTATAAGAAAATTCACAGGCAACAAATTGGCAAAGTTGCACATTATGAATTGCACAAATTGTTTTGCATATTATGAATGAATTTGCATTATCTTAATATTGTTTACGACTGCGTAAAATGTAATTTTCTTATTTACATGGAAAGCAATTGTTTTAAGGTCGGCGAAAAATAACAGCTGACTTTAAAGCATTGTCCTATAATCTTAAAATTTAGAAATCCCAACGTTAAATATCTCTGTTTTTTATATATGGGCAGTTTTTATCATATTGGTCGACCGAAAATGTAGCAATCTGGTGGTCCCTAAAAAGTGGCACGGCCATTGGCTATCGTTTCACAAGGCCGTCACTCGCCTTAAGGCCCGTCGCCCGGGTTCCTAAAGGCCCAGCGCCCGGGTGTCTTCACCTGTACCCCCAGATTAAGATTGTCCTTACCCATTATACAAAACATATTGCCGTCCCTTTCAATCCCTTTGAGTAAATAGACAACAGTGTCTGGGATTTCGAAGTTAACAAAAGACTCAATATGGGTCTAAAAACAATTATATTTACGTCATATGGTCTAACAAAGTGTTGTATAACTAGATTTATTTTGTTTGTAAAATGAATTGTATATTCATATTCAATATGTAAATTTCCATAGTCACAAAGTAATATTGCATATGCATTAATTCAATGAAAAGTAGGCTAGCTTATATAACAAACAAGTGTGAAACATTTTATTACTAAGAAACTTTGTCCAAAGAGACATATTTTTATCTGTTGAGGTGGTCTAACATCTAACAAACATCCATCCATCCAAACATTTGCAGTTATAATATTAGTAAGATTTAATTTAGCTAGAGTTAATAAGTTATATAGAGGCAATGTAAAACCTTATCATCCATGATTTTCAGTCTTTATACTTTTTTAATATATGGGAATTCCATAATATAAAGGTAATTTTTTCTGATGTTTTATTCCAGGGCTACCCAGCAATACAGGGCTACATGGCGCCTGGCTACTACCAGCAATATCCCACCGCTTATAGCAATCCTCAAGCAGCTGCTGCCGGTAAGTACTCTATTCTAAATATTATTGTACATTACATTATTGACTGATCAACTGGTCAAGGTTGAGGATGGCAGAATACCAAACATTACGCAACATTATCTCCAGTGGTCTATGATTTTAGAATGATTAATAGTAGTTAGTCCCGTTTGCTAATATTTTTTTTAGTGGACTCGCAAATGAATTTGAGATGTTGCAAAAGTAAATTTTACATATTGGTGTGATGTTTTTTTAATAAAATAACTACCATATAGTATATTTTATATTTAGTATAAAAGAAAAAATGAAGTTTGACATAAAATGTACAGTTTTAATAGCATTGCTATCAGCAGTAATCCCTTATCTTGTGTCTCCCTTATCTCTGTGTGATACTGTGCTGCTATTTAGTGCAAAACTATGTATTGACAATATTTACTTGTTGTTTTATGTAAAATAAATCTATTTTACTGTAATTGATGCGTCCCATACTTTTGACGGAATCACATCTTAATATGCTATAGCTATATAGCTTCTAGTCATCTGCATTTTGGTTTAGGAACTTACTGCAATGTTATTTGATTGACATGAGTTCCTAAGCACCAAATTGTTAGAAAAGCCAAGACAGTAGAGTAACTAGATAATAATTAATTATTAATTAAAATGTGTTTATTTGTTTCAGCGGGCTACCGCATGAGCATGCCGGGTGGGGCCGGCGCCGGGGCGTCATGGGGTGGCACCGCGCAGCCCCTCATGTACGCCTCCGCAGCCATGCCCTCCGCGCAGTACCCCTCGCAGTAGCGCCCCGCGCGAGCCCCGCCCCCCGTCGCCCCGCGCCCCGCGCCCCGCCCCGCGGCATCTCCGCGCTCTTTGACACTGCTACAGTCGCGTGCGCATACAGACTGAGTGCGGCCGAGCCCGCGTATGTTGAGGCGCGCACACATGACGCGGTGTTGACCGCAAACGTCACATTGACACCTGTCAGTGTGACACGTCCTCTGTAGGCGGCCAAATTAGTCTACGACGCCGTGCGCGGGCTACTAGGGAATAATTAGGCTAGAGGTAACAGATTGTTGAGCCGGGATGGGAAATGTTTTTATTCGTGGCTCAACGTGTAAATGGCAATAACCGACCTTCGTTTGTTAGTTTACGTCCGTTTGTTAAACGATCAAGTTTACGCTGACTTCTGTTTAGTCTAAGCTTCTAGGGAGAAATGGAAAATAGTCCTAATATTGGTTTTTGTTTCTAAATGTTTCGTTCGTTCCACTGTTCACATCGCCTTCTTCATTTGATCGACTTGATTTGGTACATTCCATTCCATAAACCTAATGTACCATGTCATTCTTAACCCCAATCCTATTGTATTATTTCCCAAGGTCATGTAACGGTCAATGCCGAGTGCTTTATTCACTAACGGATCGATATCCGTACCATACTTCATGTTGTTGACTGTAATGTCAAATTCCAAGTGCCTATAAATGTGGTAATATTTGTTATCAGGCGAGTCTGCTTGATTTTGTTACTTTAAAATATCGTTTCCGTTGTTGGGGGACGATATATTCTCAGACGCGATTACCATTTGCTATATTTATACACTATGACAATATCATGTTGCCGTTTCAATCAAGTGT